TCTCACTACTGCCAGTCGGTTTTACAAGTTCTGTACCCATTGTTCATTTTACTTTGTACACAGCTGTCTGCAATTATACCTGTGAAGCATTAGCTCTRCAGAGACGAAAGCACTTGTGCATATAGGAAATACTATCTCAGAACAATAAATGACGTGAGATAGTTTAAGGTTCTGTTACTCCTGCCTTAATTTTTATCAGTTCCATCTCAGACCACCCCCATAAACCATGCATGTTATGCCAATGCAGCTTCAACCCAAATCCAGTAGTACCCTTCCAATCAGATTGCCAGCCCTAAATCCCCTAGAAATGTCATGGGTCCTAATGGAAAGTATTAGAAAATAAGGCTTCATGAACTCAGATTTAAAAAGCAGGTAGAGTACTTTATACTTGATGAAATAGATAACACAGAGCTATGGGAGGCTCCTCAACAACTATTCACTGGATGTGGTGATAAATCAGAAAGATTGATCTCTGTGGAACTTAATTCAGTACAAACATGAATTAAACTTTTCTAAGAAATACATCTAAATAGTGAACTAATAATAATGAGACGTTCATAATGAAAGAAATGAAGGTTTTTTAAAAATTCCATTCTGGCATAATTAAGGGATAAATCAGTTCAATTGAAAGATGTCACTGTCATTAAAACTTCATTCATTTACTGAATTATGTTTCATGTGAACAGAGTGTATTTTTAAGATTATTCAATTATTATGTAAGTCAATGTCATTTCCAGTTTTGGGAAAATTGATATTAATCCCTTGTCACTGAAAATGTAACCAAGTTTATCAAATTAATTTCTCAAAGGCCACCTGATAGCCACCAGATGGCAACCTTAGACGACKTCAAGTCAGGAATTGAAGTTATGGATGGCCCTGAGAGGTTGTGCATTACCACTCACTCCCCGGGGTTCTTTGAAGTCATAAAACACAAAGGCTTTCTAGGACTTTTGTAAATTTCATTTGAACTTAATAAAATATGCTCTATCCACGATGCTTGCAGTAATTAAAGATTCTTTTTCTTAATAGGAGTCTATTTTGAAATAGCACAATATGGAGTGATCATTAATAGGCCTATTAAGGTACTTGAATAAATGCCTATCAAGAGTGCAGCACACATTAGTAAATTTCCTACAGAAAATCCATTTTCATTTCAAATTCTGACGTTTTATTTAGAAAAATTATACCCTTTCTTTTAATTATTTCAGTAAACACAATGAGGGCATTGCTAACTACACCTTAGAGTACTTTATTTTCTCCTTTTTTTTAGTAATATGGTTCTGCTTGTAATTAAAGGCGTGCTGCATTAATGATGCTGAAAGTCTCCAAGGGAAACATTTAATGTCCACCTCATAATATTATGCCCAAACTACATGCACAAAAGACTTTTTAATAATCTTTGTTTCCTAATTTAGTTTTGATTGGTTCTGAAATCCATGGCAGCACTGAAGGGCTCCCATTTCCACCGTCATCAGCAATTCTGCACCATAAATCTTACACATGCATATGACTTCCGTCTGTAGGCTCCTTTCAAAGCTTTTGTTTAACTTATCCAGAAAATTAGCTTCAGGCTGGAAATAATTGCAGATAATTTTGCCATTTTTAAGCCACTGGGGTGTTGCAAGGAGAGATGACAGCTAAGTTTGTCTAAACACAAAGAACAAGTCAGAGCTTTGTGTTGTCACTTTGGCTTTGCACGTGGGTTCAGATCATTCTTCCTGCTCTTTATGCAAATTGAAACAACTTGTCACTGAATGATCTGTGTTTCCTGACAAAGATATGCTACCTGAAGCTTGTCTTGTGGACAAAAGGACAGGATTTACACAAACATGTTTTCCTAGACTTAAAAATAAAAATGCTTAGTTCTCCTCTTCCCTTCAGATTCTTCCCCCTTAGCAAAAGCATAATKTTTTTAGCCACTATAAACTTAAAAAGAATATGATAAATTAAAAAGAAGATACATAGCTTTCAAAATGTACAACTGGTATATATGTTATCACCTTATTCTACTATTTCTTTAATTCTCCCAGAAAACTAATGTACAAATATTTGGACAATGAGTACACAACATTTCAAATTACTTGACACTGAAGATTTATTAAATATGTCATTCAGGTTAATAAGCAAAGACCTATTATAAAATGGAATCATATGTTTCTCTTCTAAAATTTCACTCTATATTAAAATGACTGCAAAGTTCATGGATAGTCACTGGCATATAATGATGGAGCAAAGGCAAAAAGAAGTAACACAGATTCTTAATGCAGGGCCAGTGAGCTTTAATTTTATATTAAACAAATCAGCTATGGGAATTATAAGGCATTTCTATGACCTAATGTCCTCTTGGTGCTCAACAGTGCTATAGTCATAGCTAATAAGGGTGTCACTAGCTGAGCAAGTGAAACTGTTTGCAGCAAACATTTGCATATAGGGGCTAAGTAGTGATTGTGCTTCTCTGGCAGCTACCCTGATGTAATAGGCTATAATGACTTGCAGGGAGCAGGTATGGAYGCAAGTGTCGGGATGGGAATGTAGCTCAGCGGATGCAAGTGTCAAGGAGGGACTAATGTGTAAGTCATAACACAAATGCATTTATGGATCCCAATTAGACCTTGGGCTAAGGAGYACCTAAACAGGTCTGATATGACAGTATCCCAAGACAGTTTTATACTCTTGTGTCAGGTTTCGGAAAATCCAAAACATAGAAGTATTGTTATACTAGGCCATTATCATTGGCATGTAATATACATACAAATAGTCCTAAAGTGTGCAATTTAAAGGCAAGATTATTTAATCTGCTAAGCCAATCAGATGCTTATTAAGGACTACAAATTAAGGATTGATAGATAACATCTCACAAACCTTACACTCTCCCTTGGAAAACTACAAAACTCAATGACAAGTTTAAATCCACCAAGGCTTTTGACACTATTCTGTGGACTTTTCTGTACACATGCAAAGTATTCCTCTTACTGTCCTGAATGCCAGCTGAAGGACATCATTTTAATTCTTTTTTTTTTTTTTCCCATTTGGCCTCCAACATCACTTAGCCAGTAGACTGGTAGGAATTATCTTGTTTAAGAAACTTAGGCCATGTCCCTTTGAAAGGCAGCAAAGGAAGACCTGTTAATGTGCCCTTTCCTCTTATAATGGGAGAAAGAGGCATGCTGCAGATACCATGCTAGGTATACCTTCAACATGATGGACAGGAGCAGTGCTGAGCAAGCACTCTGGCCAGAGGCTGAGACCAGGCAAACTGCACATATAAATCATACCTTGAACACATCATACAGGACTTGTGCAAGCAGAAATGACACCCTAAAAAAAGATATTTTCTATTTTACTTGGATCTGTAAATTATTAAAACAATGCGTATTGTTATAAGTGTCATGCAAACCAATATATAGAGCTACAGTGTTCTTAATAATATGAAGAGTTGGCCCAGAAGTTGTCCCCTGCTAGAAGGAGTAGAAGATTGCACAACCTATCACCTGAATAGCAATTTCATCCCAGATTTGAAATGAGATCTTATATTTGACCTTTCATGAGAAATTATTAAAGACCTTATATAAAGTCAACAAATGTACCTGCTTTTTTAACAGATTTATTATAGTTTTACTAACATGTTTGAATATACTTCTCCAGAAGCCTGTGGTTTCTAAAATATAACTTCTTTGCCAAGCACATACCTGTTTGCCAAAGAGACGGGTCCTCTTTTTGAAATATTTAGTCTTTCAGGGCACTTTAGTCATAGTGACACCTAATAGCCAAGCTCTTTTTCTCACTCTCCACAAAATCAGGTTTAGACTATAATTCAAACCAGTCCCCAAAGGCACTTCTGAAAAATGGCAAGCCCTTAGCTTTTAGGTGAAAACACTCTTTATTGCTCAAAATTGTTTCCTGTTACAAAACCTTTTCTATAGTGCTCAGGCTAAGATGATCTTATGCTAATTTAACTCACTGGGGACTGTGAGCAGATGCTACTTTGATTAATAGTTTCACTATCCTGAAAATGCCAGGCCAGGTTCAAGATAATAAAGTCAGGTAAGAATACTATTAAAATCTGCCATAGAATTCTATCTGTTACATGGAGAAAAATGGGATCACAGCTCCTGTATCCAACAAAGACGGTCTATAATAAAAAACAGCCACCTAAAACAAATGAACACAGTGTCTGAATTCCTTGGCACATTAACTGACACCATTTTAATCACCAAGCTCTTCATTACTACTTTATAGGTATATTTTCAGCTATGTCCTTAGTTGAAATTCAGTGTTTTACTCCAAAGCTATCTTTTCACATAGTATTTAACTTTCCACCCAGGGGAAAAAAAATACACATAAGAACAATAAATTTTTGTAACTTTGCTTATCAAAAGGAGAGTATCTGAATTTGTATGACCCAGGTCATTATTTTCAGCAAATATGATCTCCAACAAGCACTTTTAAAACATCCACAGAAAACTGTGATCCTAGATGATAAGGGACTGCATGAGTTGGCAAATAAGGCTTTTCTGAAAAAGCATCTTGGGAGACTTTAGTCCCTCTCTCCTCTGCTTTTCCTCTCACTGGKCTCCTAACCAAGGACTTCCAAATCATAGCTGCTTTCTAATGAAGGAAAGCAGGAGAAGGAATCTAACCTGGAATCATGGAACCTGGGGCTGGCTTCATATATGCATGTTAAGAAACCTTTGCAATTTTTTAAAGTTTGCCAGTGGATTTTCTCCTTAACATAACACATATGATCTAATCATATTCCCAAACTCCAATCTGAAACTTAACCTTCAATTGAAAGTAGAAAGTTCTAGTGCATCAATTATACTGTGCAAATGTAGTTTCAGGTAGTTCAAACCTCCACAGAGAATGACTTGCTAGGTAACACAACCTGCCACCTGCAGATTCAGCTCTACATGAAAGGAGCCTTCACATTCACCACATTCATATTCATATGCGATTCAACCCCTTTAGGGGAAATACTCTACTCAGAAGGGTTGCCTCACCATTGCACAGAAGGACTCAGGAGGGTCTCCACAGGTAATATCCGGAGGATCCAGTTTCACTTTCAGGTATTTTGTCATGTCCGTGGATTCTGGTTGACAGGCCATGTAATCCCAAACTTTACCTTCTTCTGTGTAAATCTGAGTCTTACACACATCATAATGTCCCCACACCAAAGGGTAGGGCTGCATCACTGAAGACACTGTAACCCAAAGGGCATGAATGGACAGGAATCTTGACAAATACATCTCTAAATTCTTTGCAATCTTCGTGATTTATCTGTAATCTTTGTCTATTTTACATATACATTTGTTTATATATATTTATATTTGTGTGTATATATATATATGTCTTTATGTAGATAGGTCTGTATATTTTTAAAAAGAAAGAAAAAAAAAGAAGAAAAGAAAAAAGAGGATCAGACCTCAAAAGCAGAATCCAAARTCAGATGTGAAGGATTAAGATACTGTGCGTGTTCAGGTATATTGAGGACTTTGGTGGAAGCCTAACATACTTGTGTGTTAGGCATTAACAGCAACTTGGAGCATTTTCGTCGTCCTAGAACATATCGAGTTTGGTTTTTGTAAAAGATGTCCAATAGCAGATAATAATTTAGCAAAGTGATGGCTCTCCCATTGTACATCCGATAACCCTGAGTGATCCTCAATGCTCACGGTTCACAAGGGCTGCCCAGGCGCCGCTGAGATATCAGTATCTGAAGCAAAAGGATGTGCGTCTATCATCCGGTGTCTGTTTCCCATCAATCATCCTTTTCTTCTGGCACCAACACCCTTTAAGAAACAATAAGAGTAAGAGTTATTGTCCCGGAGTCAATGCATTACGAAGTGTATGATATGTTGACATTTTGGAGGTTTGATGCAATATCAAGCAAATTGGTGTAATCTGGATAACCTTTACTCAGCTGCTTTGCTAGAATGAGCAAACCAGGGAAATCATTCACATAGGGGAGATCTGATATGAAGGATTTAACTCTTCCCTAGCAAAGACAGATGTGTGTGTTCCAGGTGAGTYACAGGTTTTCGCTTCAAAAATTATTTCCATCTGAACTAAACTGAAAGCAAGCTGCTAGATTTAAACATTTCTCACATATCGCACTGCTAGAAAGTCTTCTAAGCAAACAATGAGGGAAATAAATGCTTTTATAACAATGACAAAGAAATGACAACCACTTGTATGCCTTTTGTCTCTTGGCAAAGAGAGTCTAAGAATCTCCAAGTTCCTTGTACATTTCTTAGCTTTTGTTAGCCAGAATGAAAACTAGCATTGTTGGCACAAGCCTGTCCCTTTGGATTTGCTCATTATGTTGGGAGAATTTAGCATCTTTTGTTTAGTTGCATTTACTGATAAAGATAACTTGGCTCTCTGAAAAAAAAAATAAAATAAAAAATAAAACCAAGGATCAAATCTTCCTTTCATAAGAATTTTCTGTTTTCTTACATATTTTTTTATAGGCATTACATCTGCATTTGCAGTTATTTTCTGTAACAGAAGAGAATTTGTCCCAAAGGCAAATATTATACGCTGCTTTAAAAGTAAAGCTCTGTAGTAAAATGCACAATTTAAAATGCACATATAAAAATAGCTGAGGGTGAGTTAACAGGCCATGAAGCAAAATAATATGGCACTATTTCTAAGAAAAAAATAAAAATTACCGTTGAAACATACTTTTGGTAAACTGACAATGCAGCCTACTTAACTACAGATACAACTCATTGAAGAGTTTAACTGGCAACTTTTCTCTCTAGGTACCACTATCTAAATCTAAACAATTGCTAACATTTGAATCCAGGTGTTAAAAGCAAATGAACTTTATTAATTATTTGTTTCATATTCATAGTCTAAATTATTAACTACTTCTTAAAWGATTCAAAAAGGACAAAAAAAATCTACAGCTTTGGAAAATCCACTATAGACCCTATGATACACATTAAATAGTTTAAATATGGGAGTTCACTATCTTCAAACAATCTTATAAAGGAATTTACTATATTTAAATAATGCACCATTTTAAAATGAACTAAGCCACGGAGACTATGAAATGCCAACAGATGGTTGAATTGTGTTTCCATAGCAAAGTAATTTATAATAATTGCTTTATGGATGCAAGTGCAATTTTCATTATATTCGATTCATAAAATGTTATCATACAGCTGCAATTTGTGATATTTTCTATTAGGAAAAGTGTTGAATATTTGAGGTCTAGGAAGCAATAATTAACAATGTGTCTAAACACGTATAAACTAAGATTTGAATCTGTCTCTTTCTTGAATTGTAAAGACTATATTGTGCTGAGCACATTTTTGAAATCTTAAGTTAAAAAGAAACAGAATCACAGAGGAGCATGTGTTGTGGCTACTATAGCCTTCTGCTTTGTTCAGACTCATTAGTAATTTTAAGTTGATATTTTCAGAAATGTTCAACACTTTGACAATTAATAATCTGAAAAGGTRTTAAAATGATATATATCCACATTTTCTGAAGGCATTTTTCAACCATGTTTACTATTGTAAGAAGAAACAAACAATGTAAAGTGTGAAGGTAGTGAACATTAAATAAGTGAAGCAGTGAAAATSAACTAGGTCAGAAATTATTAACTTCAATTCATCTTTTCAAATATACAGCAATTTATTTAYCAAGAACGATATAGTCTTGAAAACCTGAAACTGTTTTGAATCTGAACTGAAGGAGCATTATGTGTTAATTCATAATTTTATGTCAAGATTACGACTTCAAATATATATTTGAATGATCTCTGAGATTAGTCTTCACTTTTCTTAACCAATATTATTCCCTAAATCCATTTATTCTTGGTTAGTTTGTCCTCATCCACATTTTGCTTTACTTCCACTTCAAAATAAAAGAGTGATCATACATTTGTATATGAAAAACTTGGACACTAAGGAAATGTATGTGGACCTGTTACTGTATTCTGATACAACAGTAATCCCAATATAACGAATTCTCATTAAATTATATCAGAATTATAATGATGGTCATTACACAGAATTATGGACTACACCATTGATCGAATTTAGAGAACTGACAAGAAAAAATGCAGAGGAGTGCAAGATATTTGAATATTAGGCAGTTGCAGGACTGTGCGACAGACATTCTTGACAAGAAGCAGCCAATTATAGCTTAAATTTCTGGCATATAACCAGTTGTGATTAATAGTTTTCCATTACATTACAGACATATTATTAATGTATTAAAAATGTCAAGCTTTGGCAAGCACTAATATGGCATGGCTCAGTTAGTCTGCAGAATTTACATTTAATGAGCTCCCATTGACACAGAAAAAGATATGGACCACAGTATATTACAGATCAAGAACAGAGGGTCACTGAGCTGGGTTTTTTTTAATAATTATTTGATTTTTTTATTCTCATTTTTACATTTTTWGCCTCTCTTACTTCCTTCATTTCAGGGTCTCCTTACTTTTCAGTGCCACACACAGAGCAAAGAAAATCATTTTAACTTCAAATTAGTGAGGATTTAAATCTATGAACTTCCATGACACACAAAGGAAAAAAAAACCTCTGTGAAAATCAGGAATGTGCTATTGAAGCATAATTATGGAGTTTTCAAAGAAAATAAAATGATGTACAAATAGAATATGATTTACGCCATGACCTCTATTACCTAATGGCCCTGGTTCCCATCTGGCCATGCTTTCCACCAGGTTAAAAATATCAATAGCTTCTTAAGAGCTAGGTCATCATGGCAAATAGCTAGGCAAACCGATTATGAGAAGGACAGTCAATGACATATTTGGGGACTTAATATACTGAAGGTATCCCTTCTGGCCCATAACTGAACTAATTGCCAAGTAATGTGGCTTTTGAATTTGTCTCAAGTGCCTGGATCGCCTAAGTAAGGATAGCTTCAAAAGAGCTCTGGGCCGTCCCAGCTTTAGTTCTTACTCTGTCAACCTTGGGAACTCACTGTAATCAAATAATGCCATCATCTCTACCTGTGAACTTAGGACTAAGAGGTCCTCTTTGATAAAAAAAAAAAAAAAAAAAAAATACCCGTTAATAAGCCCTGAGTACTCCATAGAACTCTGGTGTATAAATTTGGAAAGCCAATAAAAATATGCAAAATTATGGCACGGCCCTGAAGTTCATAGATATTATTGATCAGGGCTAAAATGGGCTATAAAATGGCTTTGCATACATGGAACATATATTTTTCTGAGATTCTATCTAATTCCTTTCCACCTTGGATTCACTTTGTAAAAAGGCATTTCACGGGCCTTTCCTTCAGAGTGGTAAAAACAAAATAAAATAMAAATCCTCACAAAATGTTAATGAAAGTAATAATAATTAAAATGATAAACAATTGTATTCTARTCTGAAAGCAACTGTCAATTTCATCAACTGAGAGGAAAATATTGCCAGTAAATCTACTAACTCTATCTAGCTTTCAGCATTCATTTTATTATATAATCTCACTAGGAGGTGGGGGGTGGTAGTAGTAGGCTATTCATTCCATAAATATTCAGCTCTTCAGGGGCACCTGAAATAGACAGCTATTGACTCATTCTTTATAGACATTAAGAATTTTATAAATATGCATGTTTCTGAATGGAAAGGAACAAAAGAAAAATTGACTATAATCAGATTCCATTGAGTGAAAAATAAGAGGAAAAAAAGACACAAATTCTATAACCTCTCAAAATTAGCAGCTTCCCATATGATCATAATGAGATTTATTACATGAGATGTTTTAACATATATTGAATGCTCTTTGCACATATTTGTCATGAAGAAGGTATCTTTGAGTATTCTTAATGGGAAATATAGGCGTCTTTTTATTAACTGCTCTCAAAATATAAGGAATTTAACGTGTACTGAAACATCATTGGCATATTCTAGTCATACTTGATTGGGTATTATGAGCAACTGCCTATCATGAGATTCTTAATAAAATCAAGTAACACACCTTAGTATCAAAAGGTCTCTATTTTCACCAAGAGAAGACTGATTACAGAAATCAGATAGCACACATTTTGCAGAATGTCCATGGATGGGATAATACATAAAATTATTGCAGAATCAGTTAAGCCTAGAAGAAATCTGTTTAATTACCACATGAACAATAAATTTTTTATTCTCATACAGGAATGTTCAGAGAGCCAACTTCTCAAATACACCCATCTAAAGTTTTGAAACAAACTCTGGATAATAAAAATACAAATTATTTTTGAAAGTATACTAAGTAACTT